AGCGTTTCAAGATTGCATGTTTTTTGCTCATTTTTGCTCAAACATGACCTCAGTTTGACCTCAATAACTCCTGACCTAAGGTGACCTAAGACTTGAAATTTGGTGTGAAGGTGTCAAATTGATGCCCAGTAAGGTACTGAAAATTTGGCGCCGGGGGGCCAAAATGCCCCCCCCCCCAACGGGGCGAGGGTTAATGGGAGGCATCCCGCCTCAACATGCAAGGATATCGGTCGCTAATGTATTATGGGTTTTGGTTACCAGGGGTATATTTTAATATCTAAATTAAAATAAAATATAATATAAGTTGGTTAAAGAGGAAATAAAATAACAAAAAATATAACATACAAATGAAAGATAACTTTATGAATAAACAATATTAATAATAATTAACAAATGCATAAATAAGTCACAATGCCACAAAGTAACAAGCAACACATTACAAGCAACGAGGTAAAGTAACAATAGGTAACAATGTAAATTAGGAGTAATGTATGTAAATAAAATAAAGTTAAATTACATTAAATTTAGATGAACAAAAAGAGAAGTAACTTTGATTTCGGCGGTTGGTTAGCCCGGATTTCTCGGATTCATGCGCTTGGCTGGCCCGGTTATCCGGATTGCTGCGCTTGTCTTGCCCGAATTGGCCGGATCTATGCGCGTGGCTGGCCCGGTTATCCGGATTGCTGCGCTGGGCTTGCCCGGATTGCCCGGATCTATGCGCGTGGCTGGCCCGGTTATCCGGATTGCTGCGCTGGGCTTGCCCGGATTTATGGTAAAGTAACAATAAGTAACAACGCTACTATATGGAAAAAGAATAGAAATAAAAAATAAAATAAAACAAATATTAATAAATCATATTAAATAAAATTAAAATAAAATTGAAGTAAATATATCATAAGTTATTGAACAATGAATATAAATATTGATATAATAAATATTAAATATTGAATGGAGATTGGATAAACAACTATAAAAATAAAAATTAATAAAGCAAAGCGAGGAGGTGTCTGTCAATTAGATCATGGGAAGTAATCGTATTGTATTGTATTGTATTGTATTGTATTGACAATTAAAACACTCTCCATATTAAAATGGCTATTGTGAGTGTCGCGTCTGAGTTAAAAGGGGAAAACGAGTTAAAATGCACCCAAATCACAGCACTCAGTAAACATATCGAACCATTCACTCATCCCTAAATACGTAAAAACCACTCGGAAACAGAGCGTTTAAAACTTCCCATAGAGAGGCTCCTAAAATCATGGGGCAGGCGATTATATAACTGGGCGATGCTGTAGAGCAGACGGCGCCTCCCTGCTTCGGTCCTCACGCGTGGGAGAGCCAGATCAGTGTCCCGCCTTGTCGAGCGTGAGCGCAGGGAAGAGTTGGTCAGGATTTGAGAGGATATAGTCTCCGGCTCCCCAGTGCAGCGTATTTTGTGAAGGAAATGGATTTCGAACAGCTGACGGGCGGTGGGCCAACCCAGTTCCTCTCGCACGTCCGATATGTGGTCAAATTTTCTTCGGCCAGACACAACGCGCAGCGCAAAATTGATGACTTTTTGGAGACGTTGTATGTTTTTGTCCGAGCCGTTTCCGTAGACCGAGAGACAATAACGGACGTGCGAGAGGACCAAGGCGCTGACCACAGTAGGCAGGAGTTCACTAGGGATGTGGTGACGCACGTGGGACAGCCCGATGAGAATACCGTTGCATTTTTGGACGAGGGCCGATACGTGAGAGTCCCAGGTGAGGTGCTTGTCAAAAATCACGCCAAGGTTCCTCACCGTAGGGCCCTCACGGATCGTGTCCTCACGGAACCGAATCGAGATGGGATCCAAGCTGCGGTAGACCGCGCCCAAAGCCAGGGCCCCGGGTAGCCGGGTCGGGGCAGCCTGCGCTGACCCAAGCCGGGGCCGCGCGTCTTCCCGGTGTCATGGATAGCCTGGGGCTGCGGTGACGTCAGCGCTCGGGCCGAGGACGGCCTGTGTGTCGGGAATAAACAGTCTGGAACCGACTGAGCGTCTGTGTACTTCAGTGGCGACGAGGACCGAACTCACGTGTGGTATGGCGCTGGCCCGGGCGCCCGAGTTCGACGCGGGTGTTGAGTGTTTCGGTGGTTATACTCGGAGGCTGGAACAGTATTTTGTGGCGAACGATGTTGACGCGTCACAACACGTGAAACGCCGCGCGATTTTCCCGAGTGCTATCGGGCCGGTGACTTTGCGCTGTTGGAGGATTTGATCGCTCCGGCCTCAGTGACAGACGTGAAGTATGGAGACCTGGTAAAGGTGCTGTCGGAGCATTTTGAGCCGTCGCCGTCTCGGATCTTGGCACGTTACCGGTTTCATACGTGTGATCGCGAGGACGGTGCGTCAGTCTCAGCTTATGCTGCGACTCTGAGGCGACTGGCGCGGCCATGTCATTTCAGCGCGGAGGTGCTCGACGAAATGCTCCGAGATCGGCTGGTCTGTGGAATCCGGAATCCCAGACTTCAGTCCAGACTACTCAGTACGGAGGATCTCACTCTCAGCTCTGCGCTCGCGATCGCTCAGGCGTTCGAATCGGCGGCTGCCAACGCCAGTGAGCTGAATCGCAGCAGTCCCGTGTCATCAGAGCGAGCGGATCTGCAGCCCGTCCATCGGGTGGAGGAGCGCCGACCGCGGCAGAGTCCGTCCCGAGTGGCGGCGACGGGTGGCGCTCGAGCTCAGTGTCACCGCTGCCGGCAGAGAGGACACGAGCCGGCCGGGTGTCCGTTTCGCTTCCGGCGCTGTTTTTCTTGCGGGGAGGTGGGTCACTTGCGAGTGGCCTGCCGACGGCGCACGCCGGCGGTCCGGGCGGTTCAAGTGGAGTCGGCAGAGCATTCCACAGCTTCCGGTGCAGCTGCGGCGGAGCCGAGGAGCCTGGAGAGAGTGGAGGAGGATGTGTATGCTCTGTTCGGAGTCTACAGTGCCGGTGTCTCGCCGCTCTCGGAGGCCGCGGCCGCTCGCTCGGAGGACACAGTCGAGCGGTGCGCAGCTGGTGGCGGCGTGAGTGTGGGCGCTGCTACGGTTGCTGCGAGTGAACCCCACGGGGGTGGCTCCGATGAGCCTATGGTCGGCGCTCTTGCTTCTGGCGCGGCGGCGGCGGCAGCTGGCAGTGGCGCGGGGCGCTCGGCTGATCGTGAGTCTGCCGGCGGGCCCGGCGGCGGCGTGCATCGCACGGAGGGAGCTGAGGGAGTGGCACCGAGGCGGCCTCAGCGCTGCGGGCCGTACATCGCACAGTGGGCATTTTTCCGATCTAGCACGTATTTATTCGTAGAGGGCAAACCATAGGTATAATTGTAGCCAGATTGTGCACAGATGTTGGCTGGTGTGTCCTGGTGAGAATTTTACCTGTAAATGTGCATAATCAACATAGTATAGGGGGTTCAATTGGACCCCCCGCTCAGCCGTTTGGCCCCTGATCAAGCTAGAGCTTCGCGGAAAAGTCAAGCGTGCTGCCTATGACGAAATTAGGCCGAATATATCCAATTTCAAAGTCCAAGGTCATAAGCTGACTTTCCAAGTCAGTTTAATGACCCAACTAAAGTTGGGAAATCGAGACCTCTTGAAACTTCGCAAAGTTAGGGTGTTACGGGGTATTTTAGGGTGCTGATCACGAATTTCATGTTAGTTTTGATCACAGACGATGTCTTTATGCATTTAGGCCAGGTCGGGTCAGGTCAGGTTAGATCAATTAGTAGGCGTCCTGCCGGCCATCCATAGAAGTGTCACCTACTACTGATAGCTTCGTAACATGGAACGAAGGCACTAGAACTACTTCGTAAATATTCAAATGGCTGCTAAAATCGAAATCAGCACCAAAAACTACCCTAGAAACAAGTAAAACTCGAAAAAGTGAACCAAGGTCATCAAAAGGTCAATGACCTTGACTTGACCTTCACGTGACCTTGACACCCACCATTATGCATGGCACCAACATCATTTCACATATTTGAACGTTTAAAACCACAAAAAGACTGGAAACCGCGGATAATGTGAGCTGGCATACGCCGAATCGCGATTCCGGCCAAACATGGTCTCGAGAAATATGCCACAGGTCAAAGGTCAGTTGGGTCAGAGTCATGAAATTTTTAGGTTAGATGTAAAATTGATGATCTCGAGGGTACCGAAAGTTTCGGCGCGATCGGCCGCTTTTTGCGCGAGTAATTCGCGGAAAACCATGGGGTTTTATCCGACCCCTTCCCCCTCCCCCTCCCCACAAGTGCGATGGTTAATAAGGTTACGGTATGTATAATTTACGCTTGTCATCCTATTCCTAATGAATGTGTCTCAGAAAATATGCATCATATAAATCACGAAGTAAAATTATTCGCCTATGTCCGGAACATACCTATATCGTGCTGTTTGCCCTAGCGCTCCTCGAGTGGGGTGTTAAGATACTCTAATGTGAATATTCCGTGTTCAGGCAAGTTTCGGCAGCCAAACTAGGCGTTGTCTTGTGCAGAAGAAAGTGGCGAATTCGATAGGATATATTTCGGAGTGGAAAAGTGTGGAGAACATTGTTGATTTCCTACATTTATTTAGAATACCATTCCTTCAATATGGTGTCTGTAAGGGTTTTTGGTAAAGGGCATTTTTGTGACCTTAGTAAGGTTGTGGCATACTTTCTGTTTGCCATTCCATTCCTAATAAAGGTGCCTTTCAGACGATATGCAACTTTAAGACCTTGCAAGATTAAAACCAACAGGACAGGACAATGAAATTGAGCTATACTTTCGGGCCTTGCTGAGCCCATTGAGTAATCACGCATGAGTGTGAACTTTGGGCGCATTTTTCCTAGTTTTGCTGTGGACATACAGATAAAACAATGCCATATATGAAAAATTCAGACATTTCTTAGCCCTACTGACACAAAAAATAAACAAAAATCCAAAAAATATTTTTTGAATTAATAGGCGCTAGATCGGAAAAATCCCCACTGTGCATCGTTCCGGTGCGGCTGAACGGTAAGTTGCTGGAGATGGAGCTCGACACGGGAGCTGCCGTCTCCGTCTGCTCGGAGCGCGCGTTCAAGAGGCTCTGGCCGACCGGCGGTCCGCCCATGGAGCGCTGTGAGCAGACTCTGAAAACATATAGCGGTGGAACGATCGGTGTGTGCGGTCAGGTGATGGTCGATGTGCAGTATGGTGACACATCGGTCCGTGTGCCGCTCGTGATCGTTCGCGGTGGCGGTCCGTGCCTGTTCGGGCGTGATTGGCTCGCTCGCATTCGGCTGGACTGGTCGTCAGTGTGCGTCATGACGGCCAGCTCGCGGGTGGACGCGGTGCTGGCTGAGTTCCCAGACGTGTTCGACGGGGAGCTGGGATGCTTCAGAGGTGAGCCGGTCACGGTGGATGTCGATCCAGACGTCCAACCCCGGTTTTTCAAACCGCGCGTCGTCCCGTTGGCGTATCGGGATCAAGTGGAGCAGGAGCTGGATCGGCAAGTGAAACAAGGACTCTGGGAACCCGTCGCACATAGTAAGTGGGCTGCACCGCTCGTGGTGGTGCCTAAGGCTGGGGGAAAGGGTGTGAGGTTGTGTGGCGACTACCGCTTGACTGTGAATAAGGCGGCTAGGGCAGATCAATACCCCCTCCCTCGCGTCGAGGATTTAATGTCGCGACTGACCGGGGGGACAGTGTTCTCGAAATGTGACCTTAAGTCAGCGTACAATCAGCTGGTGTTGGAGAAAGAGTCGCGTCAGTATCTCTCTCTGAACACGCCCCGCGGCTTGCTGCGGCCGACCAGGCTCAGTTTTGGGTACTCGGCAGCGCCGAGTTTGTTCCAGCGGACGATAGAGACGCTGTTGGCTGGCATCGAGGGCGTGGGAGTCTTTTTAGATGATGTGATCATCACCGGCCGTGACATGGAGGCGCATAACCGTGCCCTCCGGGAGGTTCTGCGGCGGTTCAGTGACGCTGGCCTCCGAGTGAACCGGGACAAATGCAGTTTCGGCGTGCCCAGTGTCGAGTATCTGGGGTTCAGGATCAGCGCGCGCGGTGTCGAGACGACTGAGGAGAAGGTATCTGCCATCCGTAACGCGCCGGAGCCGCAGAACGTCTCGCGGTTGAGATCGTGGCTCGGTCTGATCAACTATTATGCAAAGTTCATACCGAACTTGGCGTCCGTGCTCTCACCCCTGTACCGCTTACTGCGACGTGATGCACCGTGGGTGTGGTCTGAGACCGAGATGCGTGCTTTTCAGACAGCAAAAGAATTGCTGCTGAAACCCGCAGTACTGGCTCATTTTGACTCGTCCCTCCCCGTGGTCCTGACGTGCGACGCCAGCCCCGTGGGAATCGGGTGCATTCTGAGCCAGGTACACGGTGACGGCGAGAGACCGGTGGCATTTTACTCCCGATCTTTGAACAGTACAGAGGCTCGTTACTCACAGACGGACAGGGAGGGCCTGGCTGTGGTGAGCGGGGTCAAGAAATTTAATTATTTCTTGGCCGGTCGGTCATTCGTGATCCGCACGGACCATAAACCTCTGTTGGGACTGATTGGGGAACAGAAGTCGCTTCCGGTGATGGCATCGCCCCGTGTGATGCGATGGGCGATGCTTCTGGCGGGGTATGATTACCGGCTGCAGCACGTGGCGGGTAGTAAAATACCTCACTGTGACGCGCTGAGTCGGCTTCCCGTGCCGTGCCTGTCAGCAGAGTCTCCGTGTCCCGCTGAGCTCATAAACTTACTCGAGTTTCTCAACTCCTCGCCGGTCACCGCAGATCAGATCCGTCTTTGGACCGCCAGAGACCCGACGCTGTCCCAGGTGTATCAGTTTGTTCAGAACGGCTGGCCAGAGGTGGACGTAGAACAGGTTGAGCTCCGTCCGTATAAGGCGCGGTTAGGAGAACTTAGCCTGCAGGACGGGTGTGTGATGTGGGGGTCTAGGATCGTCATTCCGCGGCAGGGCCGGAAGGCGGTCTTGGAGTTGATACATGAGGGACATAATGGGGAGAGCAGGTCCAAATCGTTCGCACGCATGTACGTTTGGTGGCCCGGGATGGATGGCGAGATCACGGATACGGTGCGTAAGTGTGTCGCGTGTCAGTTGCAGCGTAACCGAGAGCCTAGCTCGCCGCTGCACCCGTGGGCCTGGCCGGCTGCCCCGTGGGAGCGTGTTCACATGGATTTCTGTGGCCCCCTGAATGGACATATGTTTCTGGTAGTAGTCGATGCGTTCTCAAAGTGGATGGAAGTGTGTCCGCTGCGAGCGGCGACCACAGAGGCTACAGTAGAAGCGCTCCGTGTTCTATATGCCCGGTGGGGGTTGCCGAAAACCGTCGTGTCTGATAATGCTCAATGTTTTGTTAGCGCTGGTTTTAAAATGTTCTGTGAGGAGAATGGTGTTCGGCACATTACCACTCCGCCATACTCGCCAAAGTCCAATGGCTTGGCCGAGAAGTCTGTTCAGACGTTTAAACACGGGTTTACTCGTCAGAAAACCGGTTCCGTTTTGTGTAAAGTGTCGCGTTTTTTGTTTAAATACCGTGCCACCCCGCATAGCACGACTATGCGATCCCCGTCTGAGCTGTTTCTCGGTCGGCAGTTCCGGACGCATCTGGATAGCTGCGCCCGGACTTGCGTCGACGTGTGGAGCAACGTCAGTGCGCTCAGAAGAGCTCGGCGGACCGCGGGGCTAAGGAGCGCCACTGTGTGCCCGGTGATGCCGTGTACGTGTCGGCGGTGGACAGACTGAGCGGGGTGGAGGGAGTGCGTTGGCTGCCAGCGGTTGTGGTAAGCCGCAAGGAAACCGAAGTGGTCGTTTGTTTGGAGAGTGGGAATTTGTTGCGTAGACATGTAGATTATGTGAGGATGCGCGTGACGAACGGGGCGGAAGGGTTTGATGATTTAGAGTTAGCACCCAGTGTTGTGCCGGCAGCTCCGCCCGCTGCAGTGCCATGTGATGTACGCGTCGGCGGCGACCGTCCAGGCCGGGCGCTCCGGTCGAGCGACCAGCGCCGGGCGCCCAGGCGCTTAGGCTACGATAGAGATTTCGCCCAAATATCTGTGGTGCAGGGATGCGGTAGACCGCGCCCAAAGCCAGGGCCCGGGTAGCCGGGTCGGGGCAGCTTGCGCTGACCCAAGCCGGGGCCGCGCGTCTTCCCGGTGTCATGGATAGCCTGGGGCTGCGGTGACGTCAGCGCTCGGGCCGAGGACGGCCTGTGTGTCGGGAATAAACAGTCTGGAACCGACTGAGCGTCTGTGTACTTCACAAGCCACGGCAATTTTGACGAGAGCCAAACATGATGAGTTCAGTTTTGTTAGTGTTAACTTTCAAACCGTTGGTATGAAACCAGGCGTCAAATGAGTCCAAAATTTGTTCCAAAGTTGCAATGAGATGAGGGAGGGAGTCTTTTTTGCCAGATAGTAAGATTTGAGTATCGTCAGCGTACTGCACCACGTGCGCCCCAGGGGCGTAGAGGGGGAGGTCATTGGCAAATATTTGGAACAGGAGCGGACCGAGCGAGGATCCTTGGAACACGCCGATAGGATTGGGTAGAGGATCGGAGAGGACTCGATTTCCTCGCCCGTCAGCTGTGCAAACAGATTGGGTATGGCCACGGAGGTAAGAAGAAAACCAGGTCGGATCGATAGAATAGGTTTGAAGTTTGGACAGAAGCTTTGTGTGGTCGATCACGTCAAAGCATTTGGAGAGATCGAGGAGACAGAGGAGAGTGAGTTCCTGTCGGTCGGTGGCAGAGAGGATGTGATCGGATACGGTGGCGAGCGCGGTTTCTGTGGAGAGACAAGAGCGGAAACCGTGCTGGGATGAGGAAAACAGATGGTTGCCAGACATGTAGGTGTACAGCTGCTGCTGAGCAACTTTTTCTACAAGTTTGGCAAAGGCAGGAACAATGGAGATAGGTCGATAGTTGGATGGATCAGTAGGATTACCGGCTTTGTGGATGGGGTAGACGATGGAGTGCTTCCAGGATGCGGGAAATTCACAAGTTGTGAGACAGGTGTTGACGAAGTAAAGGAGGATGTGACTGATGGAATCGAAACAGAGGCGAAGGATCCGGATGCTGACACCGTCGGAGCCGGAGGAGGAGGAGTTTTTCATGGAAAAAAGGATGTATCGGAGGGACTGAAGGGAAATAGGTTTTAAGGAAAAGGCACAGGCACCTACCCTAGGTAGCCTGCAGGGAAGGGGGATAGGCTCCCCCCTGTCCCGGACCTCAGCCGCGACGCGAGGGCCGACCCCCACAAAAAAGCTGTTAAGTTCGTTGGGGGTGGCCTCAGGCACGATACGCTGAGTGGACCTCTTGCCCTCGATCACCTGCCGAAGGTTACGGAAAGTGGAGGCCGGACCCTGCCTCCTCACCCGGCTGGCAATGTCGTTTTTAACGTCACGACGTATAGCAGACAGGGTTGGCATTTTTGCCGGCAAAAACTAGTTTATGCCATTTGCCGGTTTAAACCGGTTTTAACCGGCAAAAAGTGGCAAAAACTGGCAAAAACTCAGAAATATCACAATGCTATGCCTAGACATGATTTTAAACAGGAAACATTTTAAGGAGAATTCGGTGAAAGCTTTATGCTTTCAAACAAAAGTGACATTGACCATTGAAATGTTTCATACCTAACTCAGAAATATTTTCATGGGCTATCCATAAGGAGCTAGTAAGATGCCTTTTGGGGGTGACAAATGAGCCAGTGCAAGGGTGACTGGGTGAGTCCTGCACAATCAGAAGTGCGAAGAGGTATCTGCCACTGATTGCGCACGGCACCGCATGACACCCTACTTAGGTACCGTGGCCGCCTTGTCCCACTCTCCCCTACATGGAAATACATTCCGTTGTAGATATCTACCGACATGCATAGACATTTTAAGCAGGGATAAGTAATGAGGCAACTTCAGAATGTTTAGTGCATCTATATAACTACCAGAAATGCATTTGTACATTTCAAATCCATTCCTAACTAGAAAAGCTGTAGGTTTGGCCATTTGAGTTTTAGCCAGTTTTTGCCAGTTCTTGCCACCAGGGTTTCTGCCAGCCGGTTTAAACCGGTTAAAACCACTGGCAAAAACCAGTTTTTGCCACCCCCTGCCAACCCTGATAGCAGATTTTACTTGTTTGTCCAGGGTGAGGAAGGCAGGAGTCCGGCCCTCTCGGGCAAGAAGTCCACGGCGCCGTGCCATGAGTCGCAGGGTGGTGTCCGAGACAGGGGGTGCAGAGTAATCATTTAACCACTGGGGTTTAATAGGTCTTCTGGTTAATACTATCCTTGGGACCGGACAGTATGGAGACTTCGGTATTATGCTTCACTTACGGTTGAGGTTATTTGTGCGCTTACTTAAGGGGACGATTAAGAAAGGGCCAGAAGGGGACTTGGACCAGGTATACTTGCGCCATCTAATTTTAGATAATGCCCCGTCCACCAATGTGCCCCTAAGAAGAGCGGGACATTTATCTGGTCTCTCATCTGCATTTATCGTTGGACTCGTCATGCTCATTTTGGGCTCGAGCCACGCCAGACGGCTGAGCCGGCGGCTACGGGAATATCGACGGACAAGCCCGTCGCAGCCGCCGCCAATTTCGGCGGCTGGGATCCCGGGGGCTCGGATTTCGAGTCTTCGCCACCAGAGGGAGCTACTCGGCCTTGCCAAGGCATATAACCCAAAGTCTGTGATTCTGGTTTTGGGGGTAATGACTTGGCGTATAAGGATCTCGACGTGCCTGAACTCTCCAACGACTTAATCACGCTGGGTCTGGGGCTTGCGGCCATTGGGATCGAAAAAGTATGGGTCCTCCCAAGTCCCAATCCTACAGAGGGCAACCACCCGTCCATGCGACGTATCTCCCGCACGGTACGAGGAGCGGCGCCGAGCAGTGAACCGCATCTGGGCCACGCGATTCCGGCGGCCGCCAGTGACTATGCTCAACGTTGAATATCCCCGGGGGATGTTGGGACGAGATGGGATCCACCTGTGCGCCCGAGGGGAAATGGCGATGTTAGAAATGGTGAAAAGTATAAAATGAGCTCAGGGAATTGTGTCTCACGTGTAGGCCATATTTCACCATGATTTGTCCTTGTTTTCTTTTTCTTCGAGATGCCGAGAGGGAGGGGGCGACGTCCAGCCGCGTCGGGCGGAAGGACGCAAACCGTGTCCCGGACAGCGAGATCAGCATTAAGAGCCAGCCGGGGTGCTGCAACAGCAAGCTCGCCTTCGGCCTCTTCTTCGGCGGGAACGGCTCAAGGGGCAGACAGCGGACCGGTGTCGAGGGAGGAGATATCGGCACTGATCAATGTCGCCGTTCGGGAGGCGGTCGGCGCCGCCACCGAGGGACTACGAGCCTACGAGGTAGGTCTGCGGAAATGGAAAGTTCCCGTCTTCCATGGGAGGCGGGGCCAGATCATCAATATGTGGGCAATGGGCCAGCCACCCATCACCCCCTAATACCTCTCGCTTTTGATGGTGCACCCTCTGGGACAGCGGGCGTAGGCAACTCCATCCGCCAGAGGATCATCAGCCACAAGTACGTCGACCTGAAATTGCTGCTGCTACCGGAAGAAAGACCGTCAGGAGGCGAGGAAAGGCAGTATCTGATAGCGGAAGGGGGGAGGATTGCCCTAGGTCCTGCTCCACAGACGGACAGCCTGTCTTGTCAGTGGATGGGTCAAGGCGTTCCTTAGGTACGCTAACGTGTACATCGCAGAGTATCCTGAGGAAGCCAAGGCCCTTTTGAGGTACATGTCCATAGTGATGGATTTGTCACGATCCGGACTTGGTATGGTCTGGAAAAATTACGATGAATCATTCCGCAAGGCAAGAGAGGTCTCCCCAGCGGAATATCCATGGGATCATCCACCCCAGATGCTATGGATGGGTGTGGTCGCAAGCGGGGTAGCCACGTTTCAAAAAGGTCAACAGGGAGGGCTCCCCCGCAGGGTACCAAGCAGCATGCCGGGACCCAGCCCTTCTGTTAAGTTTGTATGTAAGTGTAAGTATGTATGTAAGTGTAAGTGACTTTGACGCCTTCATTCAATTCCTTAATCGAGAGATAAGGCTCCGCGAATCAGCCAAAGGGGTGTCAACATCGGCTCTGTCGCGGAAGCGTCACCCTCGGTGCCGTCTGTCACGAGCAGCATGACTGCCCGGCGCGAGCCTCGGAAGGAACGGACTCGGCCTTCCCAAAGGCCGAGGAAGACGGCCTGTGGCGCATGTCGACAGGGGCATCACCAGTTTGACCAATGTGAATGCCAAGCGGAACCATGGGTCGAATGTGACCGGCATCATCACATCCTGCTTCACGATCCGGACCTCGCGTCAAGAGGCCCCTCGGTGGTTCTGGCGGCAGAGCCGTCACCCGATGCGGCCAGCATCGCACCAGAACAGACTTCTCCCCGAGAGACGGGGTTGAGTGTTATTGAGGTCTATGATTAGCACGATCATCGGACTTACCACCGTCAACAAGAAGAGATGACATTTGACGTGGACACTCTTGGTATCATTGACAAGGACGAGACCGTCGTCCCAGACCCAGGACTCATGTCTGAGTACACAGGGAACGAAGTGGATGAACCCTGTGAGATGGGCCAGGTGAAGAGCTCTGAAGAGC